TATTTACATCAACTTTTATGGCACTCTTATGTAGGTTCCCGTTATCTTGCGGGGTCACATGGGCTAACACGGACTAACGTTCATTGTTAGAGGTTCTTGCTTCAAGCGTCCGGGTTAGACATCCTGTTCAAACATGGTCACTTCGAATCGATTTTCGGTTGTTATCGAAATATAGAATATTTTGGAGCTATTGTAATCGTTAAATTTAAAATTGGTATGCATATATAGCAAGTGCATGGCACTATTTTAAACTCCGGCGCGATCATATTGTACTTTGTTTAACCGACTAACAATAGAGTACGATATTTTTCGATTTTTTGCTTTAATCGGTTATCATGTTCGAGTTGGGACAGAATTTTCTTAAAAATCATCATAAAACATCCGACACGCACCCGAACACCAGGACATTTTAAATCATTCAAAGAGTAACTTATATAGAGGCACAATTTGTTCTGTCGAGCAATTTTGCTGCCGACGTCGACGCTCGGATTGGATATTATATTTCCAGCTCTCAGTTGTTCGATGTTCGCTGTGACGTCACGCCGCCTCATACGGTGGATGGCGGAAGGCGCAAGGAGGGGTACGCAAACTTCGGTGTGCCGAAGTTAGCTTCCTGTCTTGTTTTTTCCAAAATTTGTTTCAAAAATGTTTAACTTCCACACACAGATTTTTGACCAAAAAACTAGGTTACTTTGTTAAATAAAAATTATTTAAAAATAAGCTCGACGTAAGTAACTACCTGAAAACCAGTCAAAAATATTGGTCCAATATATATACAATATATAATAAAGCTGCCATGGAAACGATCTTACGCGCAGAAGAATATGCATGCGCTATGAATGTAAAACTGTAAGTATGAAGTAAATAGGTAAGTGTTAAAACCGAGTTGTATGATTTTCCTAAATGATTTGTATTATTCCTATTGGTTTATTTTTTTATATTGATCAAATTGGATAAATTCTCACTTATCCAACTGAAAAGCGCAGAGCATACAACCTTTTTTTATTTTTTTGCAGATATGTTATTTTAATAAACATTTTTTGATTTATTTTTAAGGCAAAAAATGGTTTACACTTCCCATATTAACAGACTCTCTCTTGTTCGTCGAACATGTATGATGCTCTTTTGATGTGCTTTTTGAATCATTCAAACGCTCAAATTCCGAAGGAGGGAAGTGGAAACAGCGTTTTCTCTTAATTTTGTTCAATAACAATTATATCACATAGGGGGCGCTGAAGTGACTACTGGACAGATTCGCAATAGCAAATGTTTGGCAGGAAATGCACACTAGTTTTAAATTAAATTTTCAGCACTTGTCTAAAAGTTTTTCCGCTAATCTTATATTTAAATTATAGTTAAATGAGCGTTTTATACAGCACCACCTTTTATACAGCACCACCTGGCGAATCAGTCTGAAGCATACATTTACATACAAGCACTGTAAAACGATGTATATTTTTGGTTAGCAGTTAAAGAGAGACAACACTAACACAGAACAATTCTATAGAAAATCTTGGCCTCTCTTCCAAAAGCAGAGGTCTCTTAGTGGCACCAAATAATTGATAGAATTCAGGTTAGGTGATGACCAATCGCGTGTCCCGTTGTTGTCTTGGCCACGCCCACCGATAAAGGCTTAAGATTCATAACAAATTATTATTTATATTTTATTGGCGCCTGCAATAAATATAAGTACATATAAAATAAACTAAATGTAGAACTGTCTTTTTCTACAAAATATATAATTTTATTATTTTTTAAATTTTAACATTATATTAACATTTATATGTTCAGTTTACAGAATTGTTACCGGTTTGTTATCTACTCTATTGGCACTGCTTGCCACATGTTAGTCACGATTAACTCTAAAAATACAGCTTTTAATGTTGGTTTGACATGCGCCCTGCCTTGCCGACCATGTAAGAAAACAGTGAGGACACGAACCAGGCCAAAAAGATAGAAACGAAACTTCTTCACATTTTTACGTTGTTTTACGAGAACATCGTTAATAAATGTTTAATGTATTTAAGAGACTTCCTAAATGGAGCTGTGGTTTCGGCTGACGTTTTCGCTTAACACACTGCAGGTGAAGAAGCATAGAGGCAACGTATTTTTGGAAATTTGGAAACATCGATTTTGGAAATCGCCAGGAAATCGCAGAAGATATGCGTAAAAAAATATATATATAACTCCAATTCTTCCTCTTAAGATTTCTATAACCTAGAACAATTTATTATAATTTTTTAATGTTAAATTTTAGTTCTTTAATACCCTGCTAATAATATCCGTTTATTCTTCGGTAAAGAATACTTGGCAAATGTCTGGCTTTTAATAATCTGTTCCAGGCGCATCGAGATCTCTCAGGCGAGCTGTGGAGCTGTCCCATATTGTCCTTACTGGCCTTTCCATCTTCCCTACAAAATAATTTATATTTTACTAATTTAATTATAATAACTGTACAGCTCTTCTGAACTTTTAAATTCATTTTTTCGCACATTTTTGTTCATGGCGGTATATTTAATATAAAATATATCGCGTAAAGCCGCATGCCAAATACTAAAAGACTGCCGTCGGGAATCTCCTAACGCCATCCAACTTTCTAGTATTTTTAGTTTCGTGTCTCCGTACAGGCCTTGAAAACGGCACTGACGAACAGCCGTTTTCTCTAATTGCCTCTCGCTCCCTCTCACTGCTTGAAAACGTTGTTTTGCTCTCTCCATACCGTGCTTTTGGTTCAGCTGCTCTTTCTCTGCAGGTGAACCTGCATAACCTGGTCCCATTTTCATAGTTCACGTTTTAGTTATTAGCCCGAATAAAACAAAAACTCATTTGGTTTTATTGAACTCTGACGGTTAAAATCAAATTAAAATTTCACCACATATTTTTTAATCTTTCCATAACAAGCCTATTTACCGAGTATATTGACACATTAAGTTAGTTGAAGCCTTCAGTTAAACTGAAGGTTTGAAGAAAAATTAAACTTTGGGGTAAAACTTGAATAAATATCCTTTATCTTGGATATTGAGTATTTTTATACCCTTGCAGAGTATTATAATTTCAGTCAGAAGATTGCAACGCAGTGAAGGAGCCACCTCCGACCATATATATATATATATATATTCTTGATCAGGATCAACAGCAGAGTCGATCTAACCATGTCCGTCTGTCCGTTTCTACGCAAACTAGTCTCAAAGTTTTGAAGCTATCTGAATGAAACTTTGTAGTTAGCCTTCTATATACTCTTACTCGTATATATATCATATAGCTGCCATAGGAACGATCGGAAAATTTTTACAAAAAAAATGTTAACTTTTTCAGTTTTCAATAGAATTGGCTCAAATTTATAACTTTTTAAGTTTTCAGCTGATTTTCATCAAATTTGAGATATAGCCATTTTATATCAGTCTTAAATATTGTGTCAAATTTTATGAAAATTTGACGACTATATCATATAGGTGCCATACAAACGATCGATTGATGTAGAGGAAAATTGCAATTCTGTGAATGTAAAACTGTAAATATAATATGTATAGGTGAATGATATGAAAGCAGGTATTACTTCATTGTTTTTTAAAATAAATATATATCATTTATATTATATGGATTCCTAGTTATAGAAGTTCTATCTGCAAGGGTATATAAACTTCGGCCTGCCGAAGTTAGCTTCCTTTCTTGTTAATGTTTTGTTTAATTTGTTTGCTCTATTTTTATTGATTTGAGGAATGCTGTTCTCAATTTTGTACAAGGATAAGAAAAGAATAAGCTTCTCTACTCTTTTTGTGTAAACATGGATTGATGTCACAGGCAGCAAATCCGATATCGACCTTGCTGACGCCTTCAAGCCACTTAATGATTTCTTCCACAGCAATACCTTGCCAGGATTTTTCACATCTATGTACTCTTCCAGCTGAAGCGGACATGGCTAGATCGGATCGGCTGTTGACCCTGATCAAGAATATATATGTATACTTTATATGGTCGTAGGTGCCTCCTTCACTGCGTTGCAAACTTCTGACTGAAATTATAATGCCGTGCAAGGGTAAAAAAATGCGATAGACTTTCTTGCTCAAATCATAAATAAATGTTTTAAAATTGGTTATTTCCCCAAAAAAATTTAATATTTATTTAGTGTATATTATCTTATTTATTTATTCTCAATTTATTTATTACTTCATAAACATTTTCATGGTAAATAAGACGCCAATTTTGTTTTGTTTTGTACTCCCTTTCAGCCGAGGAACTTTTTTTACAAAGCTCTGTGCTGACACAAAACCGTCGATCAGCTGTTTGCCCATCCGATTGGTGACCGCTGTTGCAGCAAGATAGAAGCTTTTGCGTGAGAATTAGTTTAGGCAGGTCGGAAAGTAGAGGGAGGATCAGCTAGTTGATTATCCTCAATTCGTCTTGTTTCATTCGCTTCCTTCGTTGTTTATCCGTCAGATCCTTAAGTTTTAGGGCTTGCATTTTGTCGTGTGTACAGAAGGTTTTCTGACGTAAATTATGGCGGATTCTAATAGAGAAGTTGGGGCCATCGCACTCATATGTTGGAACTACAAAAAAGAAGGGCATAGGTTCCAAAACTTTGATGGGAAACGAAGGATATTTTCCTACGGCTACGGAGCCCATAATATTTAGAAACCAGCGTGTGACAAATGTTTAAAAAGCGCCAAGGGTCCCAATCGTCCTCGTCCGACGCAGTCCGATGCAAAATCGTAGATAAGCGTTCAAGTAAGCCAGGTCAAGAAAACAGCAATGCAGGGAAAAGCAACAATTTAGTTTGGCATCAAATTAAACAACTAAGTAAGGTTGGGGGTAATAGAGCAATCCGATGGTGCTAGGTCGTAAATGTTATACTAGGTTTTTAGAAGGGAGAGCGATAAAATTCTATAACAACATCTGAGATCTAGGAAAAAGTTCAATATACCGCCTACATTAATTTCTGTTTAATTTCGGCAGTCTGTATAAAAAGTCTAAATAGAATAAAATAATGGAAAGAATCTAAAATATAATAAACATGAGGGCGCGACGATCTTTGTCACGTCCCTAATCAATGTTTTATATAATCCCAGAGTGATAACAAAATGCAGATAATTTATCAGGCCGGATCTTGTAGAGCATCCAAAGCGTGCGGTAAACTACGCCATTCAATCGAGAACATCCAACAGGGAACTCCGTTAAACGATCCTTTGCTTAAAGATCTAATCCTTAAGTTTTCTCATCTTATATTTGAATACTCGGGCGTTAATGTCATGTCAATCGCAGATTCGAAATTTCTGGCCATCTCGTACTGCACGTGAAAGTGGTGAATAAATCCGTAATTCATGGCATCTTGAGCGTTCTTATGTATATGACGAGGGCTTCAAACATCAGAACTGGAAGAATGTTAAACGACCGAGATTAGTAGGAGTAGTATCATCTGCTTAAAATTGAGACTATCCGGTCTAAGAAATGATTGTCAACATTTTGCCAAATAATCAATCTAAACGCTTAAAAATTCATTAAGCTGACCTCATTCGTTTCTTTTCCTTAAACATAAATTTAAACTTATTGTGGAATGAAAGAGAAATGATAGGCAATCCTGTCAGAGAATTGGCCATTATAAATTGTAAATTTTGTCTGATCTGATAATGATTTTGTGGTCGTCGGAATGCATGGTATCTAATGCGAATGTAAACAATCTGTCCAATTCATTATGCTCATACAGAAGAATTTGGCATTGATTTAGTTCAACTTCTGAATCGCCAACAAAACAGATCTGAAAGAACTTATGATCTTGGTTAGTTGGTGGTGGTAACAAAGGGCCCGCTCGATGGTCAATTTGGGAAATTTTACCTTACATCAGTATCCAATAGAAACTAACTTCAGCTGAGTCGATTGTAGAATCGTATCTGTTATGCAAGCGAGATTTGAGTCTAAATTTACAGCTTGTCTTCTTCTAGCAAAAGTTTGTCTCTTCTGCAGGGCGAACCTGTGCATATTGGTCCCGCATCAATGCAATTTGTTCGGCTCGTTAATCTTGTGTTTGATTATTATGAACATTCCTTTGTGTTTGATCGTCTAATAGCAGGCTGCTGAGGCTTTATAGAATTTTCAGGAAAGTTTTCCAACATTTTTAAGCAAAGAAAACATTTGCCTGGTTCAGCCGTTCTCAACTGATGTTAGAATTACACAAATTTACACCATTTTTATATATATAGGTAAATATTTTAAAGAATTATAGCACACCCTGTAAATAAGACCCCATTAAAAACCATGTATGTAAGTATATAGGCCCTGACAGGTAGTATTATAAATTTCGGTGTTTTTTTTAATAATTGGTCGTTAATTTAAGGTTGTCAGTCGTCCGTCTTTACTATGCAGTAAAATATCCCTTATTCATTGCCATTTATTTTTGTAAACCAATGGTCAGCTTCAGAAATAAAATATATTTGCAAAAATGTAAGGTTGGCGGTAAAAGGCTACCTGTAAGATGACAGGCTTGCCTTTCTACCTTAAAGGCGAGCATACTATTTCCCTTTCTAATTCCCATTTTGTATAGATCTATTAAAAAATCAGTTAATTGTAACTGAATGCCGATCTATTACTATGCGCTACAATTTTATAACACGTCCTAGTTCTGGGGTGCGAGCGTTCGACGCTAGTTTTATGAACACGTATTTGCCATTTTCATACTCTATTATCTCTAGGACTGTGTGATTTTAGTCCGCGATTGTGGCACCAGTGTTGCCAGGTTAGCTTATTATAAGCTAGTTCTAGCATATTTGAAACTAGAAAAGCTTGAAAAATTTCAATCTAGCATATCTTAGCTTTTTATGTATTTTTGACATCCACGGAATGTTTTGTACGAAAAATATGCTTTATGGCATGAAAATATCGGAGTTTGTTCTTTTTTTGCCGATGGTTATGTGCATTTCATGTGATCGTGAACTTATTTCTAATCGAAAGTGTCATCGGAGTTCGATTTGTTGGCTGAAGTGTTACCACCAATAATTTTGTTGTGTTGTGAAAATAAGTAAAACGTGTCCTCAAAATGCCGAAAGTTATATACAAACAGATTTTTCGGAATGCCTGGCTCCAAAACAACGAATTCAAGGCGTGGTTACGCAAAGTGTCAAGAGAAGGAACCAAAGCATATTGTTGCTACTGTAAGTCGACAATATCAGCCAAAATCTTTGAAATCTGGCAGCATGCGGCATCGAAAAAGCACACTTTAGCATGGGATCAGTTGCTGAATCGCAAAAAATAAATTTCCCGGCTAAGTGTTGCAAGACTCAGGATCAGGAAGCAGCGCTTTGTTGTTCATTGCCGAACACTCGGCAATATTGCCAGTGGACCATTTGTCGCGGTTGTGCACAACTAAATTTAATTTCAATTTTAACATATTCAATAAATTATAGGTCCATCAACAATCAATTGTGAATTAAAATTTAAGTTTAAAGACCTTATCATAAATATAGCCCCCAATGATTGTTGCCATCCAAATAAAAAATAATAATGTTTCGTGTTTTCTCTCATTTGGGTGTAGCTTGTTTTTTAGCATTTTTTTTTAAATTGTTTAGCTTATTCTAGCTTTTTTTTTATTTTAGCTTATACGGGCGCTCATCACCTGGCAACACTGCATATAATACGCCTTCCGGTTTGCGAGTTGATCTTCATTTTCAGCAAATTATTCCCCAATGCGTCGTTTGAAACCCATGTGTACACGTTTTTCTCCTAGGCATATTATTGACTTTTTAAAACTTTAGATAAATACTCCTTGCTTTAGTTAAGTTGTAATAAGGTGGAGATCCTATTTTTTATTAGTAATATTACAACAATAATTATTTAAATTTTATTTTTTTATTGAGATTAGAGTGACACATTTACAATTGATTCTTATTTGTATTGTACATCTGGAATTCATCATCATGTTTAATATAATTTAACAATAATTTAACATTTGTTTGTTATGGTCAGTAAAACATATTATTATGGTCATTAAAACATATTATTAATACATATCGAGAGAGAACACTACTATGACTTATTGTTTATTATTTATATTATTAATAAATATTTGATTTAGGTATGCATCATTCGTATTCCAGGGTGGGTTTCGGGTCGTCAGTTTTAAGCACAAGCTCGTAAATATTAGTATAATTTGCATGATATATATGTTATTTGGGAATTACATTTCTCTCTGCTCGGAAACTAAACGCTACTGAGTCAGAAAATTAAATTGCTGAAAATATCGATATTTATCGAAAAGACCGATATTCAAACCGATTTTTTAATGTTCAAATATTTATGAGGAATACATCTATATTGTGTATGAAATATCGAAACTTGCCAAAGAAGATAATTGCGTTATTATTCTGTATTCAAATTATTGTTCTTGGTTTAGGTTGATTTTCGGAGATGAAACCACATAAATTAGAGCAGTTGACACATTTATTCCCAAATTTATTAGAATTAGAAGAAGTTCCAATTCAAAATATATCCTTATGCTTCTTTTAAATACATATTCACAACATTTGTGCTTGATGGAATACGATCGATTTCGAATTAGCCTTGTACAGGCCAGTTTCTTACGGAATCAATAGAGTTTAATTTCTTGCGTTTTTCTTTAGTTACAAAATTTAAGACCGCTTACAGGGGCTTTTCCTCTATTATTTGGGAGATCAGCATTATATGTTTGTTTAGTTTTTATTTTTTTTACTTCTGTGAGACTATTTCAAGTTTGGCTGGAGGCCTTACCGCCTTGGATGCCTCTAGACTGGCACGTCGCGCTGCTGCGGCCATATATGTACCATAATATCGACTTAGTATATGAGGATCGACCTGGTTAAGTTCTATGTAGGCGGCGGGGTTTGGTAGCACGGGGTCTATGACGGGACATTCTTCCAAAGAACTCGACTCCTCATGTTGGCTGCTACCGCTATCGCCCAACGACCTGGCTGAATAGTTGTGTTCTGGATCTTGATCATGATCGGGATCATCACTGAGGTATGTTATATTATCGGAAAACATTTCCTTCATGGCTGACTCTCTTTTTTTCTTCTGCTCTAGAAACGGCTCCTGATCCAGATCCGTATCGTGATCGATTCCTTCGTCAACCACTTCGACATCCACATCGGGATCAATGTCGGTGGTGTCGGTGTTAACAGTTTGCTGTTCCAAGCCCACAACCACTTCGCGATGTATCGTCTGTTTTGTAATCACTGTATGATGATGCTCGGACTCCTCCAACTGTTCCTGATCTTCAGAGGAAACTATATCGGGTGCTAATAGGGAGGCCACATCGAACTGACGCTTTCGGGTTTGGGAAAACATATTGGCTATTGTTGTCGTCGTTGTGGAGTTGATAAATGCAATATGTTGATGTTGGGGAGTCACGGGAATCGATGGATCTTGGAGGTTAAGGAACGACTGTTGTCGCAGGGAGGGATCCGAGTGATATGTGGGAGCAACAGTTGGTACCACCGCCGAATTTCTATTGAAGAACTGTCCTATATACTGCTGATGATGATGGTATGGAGCATAGCCCAGTCCCAAGGTGGAGCTGCCAGAGGAAGGCGGCGGTGTGGTGAGATCCAACGGCGGTGGACTTGGTGACCCCGTACTAGCATCATCCACTGATAAGCCCATATGCTTTCTCACCTTACGCTGGGCCTTGCGACGCCGAAAATCACCCTTACGGAAATCATCCATATTAGCAGGATGTATAGCCCAATAATGTCCCTTCCCATTGGCACTCCTCCCCGATTTTATGAAGCAATCATTGAGTGAGAGATTATGGCGAATGGAGTTGCGCCAGCCAGGACCACGACTTCGAAAATATGGATAATTGTCCAGAATATATTGATATATGTCGGACAAGACCAGCTTTATGTCGGTTGAACTTAAAATAGCCATGGCTATCAGTCCTATATAACTATGCTGGGGCTTGGGTTCTTCCGGTTGAAAAATACGATGTTGGGTTTGTGGAAAAAGCGAGAAAGTTGTCGATAATGCGGACATTCTATTGATTGCTGGGCTATTAGCAGAACTCGGACCAGATCCGGCATTGGAGCTATGCCCGTAGGGGGTCAGGTGTACCCATGAAGCACTCACACCATTAGTTCCTCCGGTCACGTACTGGGGACACCTAAAGCGTTCGATATTCAAGGCATAGTTGTAGAGCTGCAGTCGGTATTGCTCCAAGGCCATTGAAGTAGCATTTCTCGGGTGTATTCCATGTGACGGATAGATACTGGACAGGACCTGCTTTGATACACTCTCTGATGATGTTCCAAGATCTTGATCGGAACCCGTGCTCGTGGCCTGCGAAGCACTTAAATCTGTATGAGCCATTCCGATGAGTCATTCAATGCGGATAAATGTAGCATATCCCTTCTTTCCTAGTACGCCATTGTTTAAGAAAACACCCTGTGGAAAGAGATAAATTTCTAAATAAGTATTATAAGCAAGCAATCTACATTATAATTCACACATCATTTAGTTATAATTAATTTAAGGTAGAGGAAGTCTTTTCTTCCTTGTTCTTTTTATTTAAAAAACAACCATGTAAGGTCATTCTATTTACATATGTATACAAATTATATTAGCAAAACAGTTACTCTTTTACTTTCACCATTTTTACAGTTTCCTCAACGTTAACCGTTCGTTTCTTTGGCAACTATAAGATATAGTAGTCCGATTTTCAGAAAATATTCCCCAAAATCTTAACTAATAATTGGTTTATCTCAAATAAGATAAAATTATGTTGAAAACTGTAACTTATATATTTGTTTTCCAAAAATGTTCCCATCGCAATTGATACATTCGTCCGTTCCATCCCGTTCCGACATTTATACGAGTGAGAGTATACAGAAGACTAACATCAAAGCTTAATTTACATAGCATTCAAACTGAGAGAGTAGTTTTCGTAGCAACGGACAGACAGACGGACATACGGACATGGCTGGATCGACTCGGCTGTTGATCCTAATCAAGAATATTTATACTTAATATGGTTGGAGTGACTCCTTCATTGCGTTGCAAACTTCTGACTGAAATTATAATACCCTGCAAGGGTATACAAAAATTGAGCTTATCAAAACATGTTTATCTTTTCAGATGTATCCTTTTTTTAAATTTTTTTAGAATTTCGGATAAAATTTGACGGCTATATCAAATAATATGTATTGGTGAATGAAATAAAAATACCAAATTTACCTAATTTTTTTTAACAGAAATTTATATAATGTATTTTGTATTTATTATTAATGATAATTACATCAATCTGCTAAGGTTAACAAACCAACCACAGCGAGTAATTCGCTTTAGGTGTAAGTAAGAAAGAAGTCAAGATCCTAATAAATCTGCAAGGGTATACAAACTTCAGCATGCCGAACTTTCCTTTATTGTTATATTTTTTTGTCTGCCATGCCCCGCCTAAAACCGAACCCTTCCATAACATCACACACTGCTGCTCTACAAAGTCCAAGCTTGTGTATTTATATCCACTTAAAGTCTTAAGAGTGTTTTTATTATATCGGAAAGGGAAGGGGAAAAAACAGCAACCATCATCACTTCGGGAGTGGTGGCGTCAAGTGATCATTAACATAAATATTGAATATGTCGAATATATCAATAACTATACCAGCGTGGGCCACCCACAGCGAGTAATTCGCTTTAAGTGTAGGTAAGGGAGAAGTATAAATCCTAATAAAAAAAGAATAAGAAATTCTATTTATTATACAGTCGTGGAAAAAATAATAGCTGCGACCAAAAAGCCTGTGTTTGAATTATTATTAACGCATCCCAATGGTACCGAATATAATTTCTCATTAAAGAAATGTAAACAGGTTTTAATTTGGAAATAATATATGCTTAATACCACAGATATTTGTCCAGGTTTTTATACCCTTGCAGGGTATTATAATTTCAGTCAGAAGTTTGCAACGCAGTGAAGGAGGCACCTCCGACTATATAAAGTATATATATTCTTGATCAGGATCAACAGCCGAGCCGATCTAGCCATGTCCGTTTGTCCGTCTGTCCGTTTCTACGCAAACTCTCTCTGTCTTGAAGCTATTTGAATGAAACTTTGCGGTTTGTCTTCTATATACTTCTATATACTCACTCGTATATACAGGGGTAGTCAAAAGTATTTACACAATTTGCACAACAATTGTTTTCACCGCCAAACTTATTTTTGTTATTATTCTTGTTTTTGTTGACCGATTTCCATAAAATTTTTTTTATTGCATAAATTGATCTATTCAGAAACAAGCAGAAAACGAAAACAAAAGATAACGGTTCATAGGACAATATTAAAAGCAAAAGAAAATATGTCTATTTATTTTGGATATACAGTCGAGTCCCGATAATTCGAAACGGCAAGGAGATCACTTTTTTTAAGAATTAGACGGGAATTCGATTTATCGAGATTTCTATTTAATGGGGCTCAAAAATGAAAGAGTCGAATAAACGGGGTTTTTAAATTTCACATCATGTTTACATATGTATTTAGCTTAATTAAAATTAAACAAACATAATAAATATGTACATTCATTTGTACGTTTTTCAAATTAAAGGAAAATTAAACAAAAAATTAACAAACAAAATTAAGCAGAAACATTAAATTATTAAAAATGAAAATTCAAGATTTCAAATAATTGGTAATTTTTGATTGCTTCGTGTTTTTTTATTTTATTTTTTCCATTGCGTTTTCTAAACCTATAAACACACTATTTGGCACATCATGAGTCGAAAAATAATGTTTAGGTTGAGGAATTAATGCTCTGGTTTGTAAATTCTATAAAATTTCTTCTCCTTTCTGATGTCTGCAAAATCTAACTTCGCTTTAACTACAAAATATTTCGCATCGCATTACGATTTATAAGAGGTTACGAAACCAAAATTACGATTTATAAGAGGTTCAATATTCTTTGCGTTGCGCCAAATACTACGAATTAACGAGGGGACCAAAACGTATGGAATTTTTACGAATTAACGAGTTTTTTTAAGGGGACAGAATTTTTTACGAATTATCGCGATTTTCGATTTAGCGGGGTACGAATTATCGGGATTCGACTGAAGCTTAAAAAACTCAATTCCAAGCCTTCATCAATACCTTAGCAAATTTTTTTAAACTATTAATAAAGTAAATTATGAGATTGTCACAAAAAAAATTATTCATTAAAAGCATTAAAATTAAGATGAAAACAAATTATGTGTAAATATTACACTGTAAGTACATCTATTCTTTTACTTATAGCACTTTTCTATGAACCGTTAACTTTCGAATTCATTTTTGGCTCGGATCTGCATAGATCAATCTACGCAATAAAGAAAATTTTAGGGAAAACGGTCAACAACAACAAGAATAACAAGTAAAAGAAATTTGGCTATGAAAATGGTCGAAGTGTAAATACTTTTGACTACCTTTGTATGTCGGAACGAGCCGGATCGGTCGACTATATCATATAGCTGCCATAGGAATGATCTGAAAACTTTTACAAAAAAAATTATAACATTTTCAGTTTTCAGCAGAATTTAATCAAATTTGACATATAGCCATTTCATATTAATCTACATTTCTGTGTACGATTTTATGAAAATCAGACTACTATATCATATAGCTCCCATAGGAACGATCGAGAATTTAATAAAATTAAAAATTATAACATTTTCAGTTTTCAACAGATTTTCATCAAATTTGGGGTATATCAATTTTATATCAGTCTTAAAATTTGTGTCAAATTTTATGAAAATCGGACGACTATATCATATAGGTGCCATACAAACGATCGTTAGATGTGGAGCAAAAATGCAAATCTGTGACTGTAAAACTGCAAATAAAATATGTATAGGTGAATGATATGAAAGTAGGTATTACTTCATTGTTTTTTAACATAAATATATATCATTTATATTATATGGATTCCTAGTTATAGAAGTTCTATCTGCAAGGGTATATAAGCTTCGGCGTGCCGAAGTTAGGTTCCTTTCTTGTTACCTTTTGAAGTTGAAATAAAACTAGAAAGGAAGCTTACTTCGGCACGCCGAAGTTTTCAATAATACAATATTAATTATATATATTTATGTTTAAAACAATGAAGTAAAGCGTGCTTTAATTCCATTCACCTATACATATTATATTAAAAGTTTTACATTCACAGTTTTGCATTTTTCCCTACATTCAACGACGACTGACATAGAAATTCAGCTATGTGATACATTCGTCCAATTTTCTAAAATTAAATCAGAATAAGAAAAAAATGTATAACTTTTTCAGTTATCAACCGATTTCAGTTTTAATTTTATGAAAATATATTTTCCATATTTCAGGAAATTAATACAACAAATTAATTTCAACATATTTTTACCTTATCTGGAAAACAGTTAATTTGAATTTGTTGTTTGTTTTTATTTTTATTTTTGGAAGAAGAATGCTAAATATATCGGTGAAAATATAAAATCGAAAATCGAATCGGTAAATATATAAAACTAATATTGTATTAATTATTAATTATGTGCAAAAGTATACAAACTTCGGTGTGCCGAAGTTTACTTTCTTTCTTGTTTTAGCAAATAATTTTAGAAAATTACCTCCATGACACAGTGTGAGCAATAATCGAAGACCTGAAACTATCGGCTAAATTACTGAAAAGCCAGCTTGGCTACGGAGTTCGTATTAATAAATTCTTGGCAAATTAAAGGTTCAGTAATTTAAAATAACAACGATTACATAAGATAGTACAACAGGTATATTCTTTAAATCCTTCGGTATTTTTAGAAGGCAAATGATGAGGTACTTTGCTGACAACCATTGGCGGAAGTACAAACATGACAGAAATCTGGAGTACCTGTACAAGAAACTCTGATGATTGGATATAGACAAAGGTGGAATAGTTAACACCAGTGGCTATACCTATGCACACCTTGGCAAACACATAGGGTCAATATCATATGATAATTTAATTTAATTTATTCTCGATGGCCTACGGCACTCTGATTTTATTTTTATTCTCCCAGGTGTGTTCAATGCAAATAAATTTTAATGCCCAAATCCCACAGAATTGCACTGGGTTCCAGCAATTAAATTAGAAGAACTGCATCTGCTCTTCTGAACGCCAGGGTTCGACTTTTCCGCGAATTATAAAGTATGTAATTGACGGCAGGATCAATTATTTTGTACAGGAAATGCAAGAGAGAGCGAGAGATAATCAGTCAAAAACACATTGATTTATTATTGTCTTCTCGTTCTTCTTGTCCCTTCTATAATCTCGCTCTCTCTTTCCGTGTGCCAAAGTTAGGTTCATGTTATACCCTTACATGGTATTATAATTTAAGTCAGAAGTTTGCAACGCAGTGATGGTATATAAGGTATATAATCTGATCAGCATCAACAGCCGAGTCAATCTAGCCATGTCCGTGTG